GGAAAACCAGACTGAACACGTCCTGAGAATGTAGTACGTAACGAGGAAATTTTTGCATCTGATTTAATGATGTAAAAGACATCCACTACTTTCCATTCCAGTTGTCATTATATGAGTCCCTTATACCCTAGTGCCCCTTACAGGATCTATACAACTCTAAATGACTGCTAATAACAGAGAAAGAATACTCGACATGTTTTGCAGGGTTTTTTTTTCCTTGTTGCAGTGACATTTTAGACATTATACAATTTATTAATTTTGATAGCCACCAGAATTAGTGGCTACTGTCAAAGATTAAATGCAATACCTCCATGGAATCCTATTCAAAGCAGCTTTGGAAGTACTGACTAGCATGAAAAATCATATTTCTCCTAGTACATCATATAAAAGTGCTTAAACTTCCAATCAATATCAGTATGCATGTATAGACACACATAGCATGAATTTTTAATATTGTTAGTGTTAAACCTGGTTTGCCAATATAGGAATCTTATACTTACACTTAATATCTTTCTTCCTGAAAGGTCCCAAAACGGCACGTATACAACTGCTCAAGCTTCACATAGGAAGTTCTTCAGTTTTTACATCAATAAATGGAAGTCACAGACAGATGAACTCAAGTCATCCTCTTTCAACAGTCTATAAACCCTGCTCACTGTGCAGGACAGACCCTCCATGTTAACAGGCTCCTACTTTACACAAAAGTAAAACTTGCTTTTCTTCCAGGTGTTATTTGAACATGCTTATCTCTGGGCCTTAGCACAGCAGCACTTCCAAGGTACTATGTGCTGGCTGGTTGTAACTTTCCAGTCCAACAGAGACACTGGTTACGTACATAGAATCACAAAATCCTTAAGGTTGGAAGGGACCTCTAGAGATCATCTAGTCCAACCCCCTGCACACGCAGGGTCACCTAGAGCACGTGGCACAGGGTGGCATCCAGACGGGTTTGAAGATCTCCAGAGAAGGAGATTCCACAACCTCCCTGGGCAGCCTGTGCCAGGGCTCTGTCACCCTCACTGTCAAAAACTTTTTCCTTAAGTTCCTGCAGAGCTTCTGGTGCTTCAGCCTGACATAACCTGACAGCATCCAGTATTCCAAAATTGCTCTGTAATTTTAATTTTAAAACAATAAGACCATATGAAAACTTCGAGAACTAAAAAGGCACACACCTCTGAATAGCATTAAAAAAAATAGAAAAATGTCATAAATCAAAATCTTTGATAGACAGGAATAGGACAAAAAATACCAAAAGATTAGGTAAAAGATATAAAAGATATAACTTTTCTAAAAGTTTAGCTATTCAATATAAACATTACAGCAAGGACACCTGGACCTACTAACATGAGCTATCCTCTCATTACAAGACATTTTTGCAATAGATGGTGGCTAATAGTCTTAAACTGAGGGACTTAAGTGAACAAAAAAGTAGGCACAAAAACTCTTCAGCTTAATTGGCCCCCGAGGAATAATGAAATTTATTTCTCCATCATCAGGAAAAAGACATATAAACTGACAACTGCATTTCCACTTTTCCCTTTCATCTGTTCTGCCTACCAGTGTCTTCTTATCATCTTGGCACATAGATCTTTCTCTGGATCTGGAGTTTCCAAGCTCTAACAGAAGACTTATTCCTTCCCACTACTGACACTTGTGACACATGCTAACTTTATTTTTTTTTTTTTTTAAGATGCATTTTCTATACTATGAATAATGCTGGCCTTTGCTGCACAGTTAACATCAGTCACACTACCATGGCATTACTAAAACACTAACTCCAGCTACATTAACTCCTCTGAGTTACTGTAACTTCAAATGTACAGAAGCCTGCAGCAAATATTAGGTAACATGATTTACCTTAGCTCACGATGAATCTGACCAAGGGCTATTTATGATATTCCTGGCTTGCTGCTGGGTCTTTCTCACAGCAAATAAATGAGAAGTTTTAAGGATTATCATTTCTGTGTTTTGCTCTCCAAAGAAGGGCAGTTACATAAGCTGTTAAGTAGAGTTAGAATAAGTAGTTTAGGCAATTACTTCCACTAGTGGGATGAGGTATGTACCCACATGAACTCTTGTATTTTTTTCTACTGTAAAAACAGTTTGATAATTTGAACTAATCATTTTTGCACTTTGTATTCAAACTACCTTCAGCATCCATTTAATCCCAAACTTTGTTAAGTTTACTTTGCAGTAAAACGGACCCACAGAAACAACCAGCTTATCTGGCTGAGGAAGAAACTAAGCGTGTTACCTCAAAAATTCAACTCTTAAGTGCTTTATTATGTCTTATGCATTTAAATGCAATGTATTATGCACTCAGTATCCAGGATCCACCCCTCAGCATCCCTTACAAATGTCACATATTAACTTTAGTCAGTCAGTTATAGCCAGTAAGTCAGCATCATAGTAGAGGAGCAGGTGTACAAGAGAACAAACCACAATGTAGTGTGTCGCACAAAACAATTCCATCAACTCTGAGGATACTATACAGCATAACATGCCCTGGTTTAGACTTTCAGACTTTAGACTTTTTTTTTTTTTTTTTAGACTTTTTTGAAATCATTCTGAAGATTTTGTATCAGTAAAAAGGGCTTTTCCTAAAAAGTACACCCTCGAAATGTCCATAGTGCTGACTCCCTCATTCACTCTCATTCCCTCTTGCCTGTCATCTTCAAGACTCATCCAGTGATCACTCCACTCCAGGTAATACCACTGCAAAGGTTCATTCTTCAAACTTCTCCACAGATTCATCAGGATAAAGTCACACCTTGCACTCTATTTTTCTACTAACCTCCTTTTCCCAAATGTAAGCTGACAAGTTCAACTCACAAGCTCCCTTCATGGCCTTCCCCCATTCCACCACATCTCATGCAGCATCGAGGATTCAAACCCAAACTCAAACTAGCCCCTTCACTTACTCACATGGCAAGTTTTCAAATCCTTCTACTCTTTTCTCAGGTCGTGTGCTACCATTGCTAGGCCCTCTGCAAAATCATTGCTATTTTCCTTTAAATCTCCTGCACGTCATGATTATGAAAAATATTGACAAGATGCTAATGCCAGCACTTCCCATACCAACTAATTTTATCGCTGTCTGTGCCTCGCTGCCATCCAAGCTGCTTCTCTCCTTTTGGTTTAACACCAATTTCTTTCAGCTACCTTCTGGTTCTGGGTTTGTTCCTGCTCATGCACCGATATATGACCACAGCCCCTAGAGATTATAATAAGATAAATAAAAAGTAATAGACTTAAGTAATAAGACTTAACATTTCCATGGGCTATAAAATGACTGCAATTCCTTTCAATGAACAAGTTCTACTACTCTCTCAGCTCTGATAATCTGAGATATTTCTGTTATTTTAGATTCTGAGGCCTCAATCTTTTTACAGATAATAAAAAACAAGGTCTTGCTGTCTTTTTAAAACTAGCACCTGACTCAACCATACAAGTAAACAGTAAGACTCTTACACAAGTACACAAATAACTGTTTCCTGCCTGGACTCTGCACTTGAGTCTCTTTTATACTAAACAGTGAATAGAATAGACTAGAGACCATCCGCATTTATTTGAGGAGTCTTCATTTCTGCTTTTTGTATCCACATAGAAAATATGAAAATCTGCTCAATGCCTCTTCTGTTAGAGCAGACAGAAGCTGGGTCCCACTCTTGCACACAGTATGGGAGGCACAGCACATACTGGGCTGGCCTGACTTAGTCCCTGCCTAGTCACGTGACTCCTCATTGGAATCTCAGACTGTGCAATTAAGCGTCATCCTAACTCCAGGCTCACACATAAAAGACCAACAACCAAACATCTGAGGTCTGTAATTTAGAAGGCAAAGCATGATAGTAAAAGATGTTAAGCTTTGATATCTATTGTAAATCAGTCTTTTCAGAGGTCAAATATTCAATATATTAAGTAACATCAATTCTGCATGACAAGTCATGTATCTCCACCATGGCAGCACTTCCTAATGCTAGAAGTAATACCAACCTGCCCTGCTTATTTTATTGCCAAATAAGAAAATGTTATCCAGAGTAAGCTAACTTTATAAGCAATCAATACTCTTAGAACAGAGAAATATCCTGCAAACAAGAGACCATCTGTTAGGATCCTAAATACTCTATATACTAATACAATATTTGCCTGGAAGCTATTCCCATATGTATTAGCTAGTCTTAGGTGATCCACCGAACAGAAATTCTATAATTTGAGATGTGGCAGACACTGCTTTGCTGCACTGTTCTTCTGTGCTTGCCAAAGCTGCCAGATTTCTACCGACACAGCAGCCTCCAGCCTTGCTGTGTGCTATTCCTCATGCTCTGAGGGAGCACGTGGCCATTCACTGCTTTTACCCATTGCACAAGAGGGCACTACATAAATCATGCAGAGACAGTAAGAGTAATAACAAATACTGATTGATTTCTAACATTGCTAAACAATTATAAATACAACCTATTTACCAGATGACCTCATCCCCCCCTCAAGCATATGCTAATGCCATCTGAGGAATCAGCTGCTGTCACCATTTTCACTTTTTATACACAGAACTTCAGTCAAATGATACTTTAATGACTACTTACCATGCTTCATGAATAACAATGTTAGGTATTTGACTTTTTAATAAAAGCTAAGTGATCTGAACTCCTGAAAACTGAACCACTTCAAGTTCATTTGTGAAAATGGGAGCTAACAGTATAATTTAGCAGTCTTTTATTTTTTTTTAATTCTAGTTTGCATAATTAAAATTGACATTATTTCCTTCTCCCTTTCTAGGGAAAGTTCTTACTGCAGCTTTTGATGCAAAAGTACTGACACATGGCTGATGCTGCATTAGTATCAGAAGCATTTTTCTCAGTGTAAGACAGCACTCAGACTTTACAGGCTGAAGAATATATAGAATAGTAAAAGTATTTGTAAATCTGAGTACAGAAAGTAGGAAAAAAAAAAGTAGCTAATCTACGAAATAGAGATATTTCTAGGAAAAAAGTACACACCGAATTTTCTTCCTCCTCTTCTAGTTCTCTCTGCTGTTCTTCATGTCGCTTTGCTTTTATTTCCATAGCTTCAGTGATCAGGTCCCTTAAAATGGAAACTGGCTTGGCATTCTTAATAAATGTATGCTAGAAAACAAGATCACAGAGTCATATAACATCATTACAATAGATACTCTTCAAATATAATTACAAGTCACACGTGTTAAAAATAACATACCATTCAACATCAGATTTTAGTGGTAAGCAGTATTTCACATCACACAATAATTAAAATCTACACTAACACAATATGTGGTATGCTACTTTGTAACTAAGGTCGTATTGTTTTATTTAGTTGGGTTTTTTAAACAGCAAGCCATGGGAAAATGTAATCACATAACATAACCACTTTATAGTTAAGGATATAACTGTCCAAAGGAAACGTACGTTAAGTAGTAAATAAATAAGTGGTGATTGCCTGACATAAAAAAGCAAACTTTTTCAGATACTCAGTTACAGCAGTTAATTAATCTTAACAAGCTGACAGCATAAATTAGCGGCTGTAAGCAGAGCAACTATGGCTGTTGCTTACTTCAACAAACCTGCACTTTAATATGTCATAAAACATTTCATCATCTACAATGCCAAAATGTGGAACAGGCGAGAGAAAATACACTACTTTGTAGCAGGAGATTAATTTTAATTCAAAACTATTATTTTAAACGTCATCCCCTCCTTTAAAGCAACATGTGCACAGTATAGTTTACATTCATTTTGCTCTAGTAAACACCTGTCAAAGATTTGGGTTTTTGAGTCCTTGTAAGAAAAAACATTATCAAGGCAAAATGCACCTCAGAGCTCCAGAAGTATATGCTATAAAAGGAGAGTTCTCCAAGAAGAGGCTTGAGTAAGTCTGGCATTCTACACCTACCATTCTCCTCTTCTACCATATTAAACCAGTTATCTTCCTCTCCTCTACAATATTCCCCATAAAATCACAGAATGCTTAAGGTTGGAAGGGACCCTTAGGGATCATCTAGTCCAAACCCCCTGCACACACAGGGTCACCTAGAGCACGTGGCACAGGGTGGCATCCGAGCGGGTTTGGAAGATCTCCAGAGAAGGAGACTCCACAGCCTCTCTGGGCAGCCTGTTCCAGTGCTCTGCCACCCTCACTGTCAATAAATTTTTTCAAGTACTTTAATTTCCAGGCATATCCCACAGGAATTCCAGTTCCAACATATGCCTTCTAAACTCCAACTGAGGAAAAGGCAATAGGTACATAGACTGGACAAATCATGGTTTTCTGGTCAGTAGATACAAGGAAAGAAAAATGTTCAGTGTGCTTGTAAGTGTGGGCATTAACGGAAGCCTTTTCTATCCACCAGTCTTCAGGTAACTATAGGGACTTCAAATCTTGAAGGTCTCAGATGCTGATTCACTCATCATATTCAAATTTATCTTCAGAGTTGTACTGCCTGATATTTTGATGGTTTCGTGGTGTGAAAAATAAGATAATTCCTAGCATGATCCATGAATTTGGGGATTTATTACTAGAAACTACTTCAAAAAATTTTGATGGTCATCTTGTAGCTCACTTAAGTTTCTATTTTAAAAGAGGATATTTCTACCTGGAGACAGATAGGACAAAACAAAACAACAATTTCCTCAGAAATTTAAATGCTGACCTGTAGAAGCTGTGTTGCTGTAGCTCTCTGTTCAGGATTTTTCACTAAACACTTCTTCACAAAATCTGTGAATTCATCAGACCAGAGCTCTGGCTTCCTGAATGTTGGAGGGGGATTTGTCGGAATCATAAAAATAGCCTAGTAGAAATAAATTAATTACTTATTTAAAAACAATAACAACAAACAACAGCAAGTTTAGACAAGAAGAAAGTCTTCACAGTACTGCAGCCAAGTAAGTAACTGCTTTATTCACTTTTTTTTTTTTAATCAGGTTAAGAATCTGGAAGACAAATTTTAAAATAGTCTAGGACTTCCACTAAGATTGAGATTCAGGAAGTTAATCCATCTGCTACTAATGTACCTACTTCCTATTAGATTTCCTCTATTTAAACTGTACCCCACTGAGTACATCACTCTTTATTTTATCTATTACTGTTTATCAGTCTCATGAGATGATCTGGTTCTTTTGGAAATTCTTAACAGAAATAATGGCACTGTTTGTTTAAATAGATATATATCAAAATGCTGCTATGAAAAGCTAAATTCACCTTCTCATCCTTTAATTTCATTTAGTGCTATATGAGAAATACTAAGGAAAATTAGTAGTATTTGCTTTTATAGTCACAATTGTTTAGCTGTAACTTAGAAACATGTTCTTGCTAACACAATTTAAAATTAAAAGACAGAAAGCAGTAGAAGACTGCAAAAACAGAACAATCTAACAACTTGCTTACTAGCAACAAGGATTTGCTTGAAACTGAATAGGCAGCATTTACCTACCTACACAAAGCTTTACACTGCTGGAACCCTACACAGATAAATTCTACAACATGGAAGATGATTCATAATACCTATAAGAAAATAAAAATCCTGTCCTGCTTAAGGCTATATAAATTGTGCCATTTGTTTTATGAATTTCACTAGAATTTCTTCTGGTTGTAATTCTTCTGATTTACATTTGTAGCAAAAAATAAATATATTTAAAAAAGGCAATGCACTTTTAAGAGACCACTGTAAAAGAAGCAGAAGTAGTTTTAAATTGTTACCTTCTATATGCAATATCAAATACATACATTATCGCTCTTAAGACTTATGAATGAAAGCAACACTATTCAGAACTAGGTCTATGGACTGAAGTAATAAGTTATTCTATTCTTCTAAAACCCAGTTCAACTCTCCCACACTTTCCAAGTGAAAGGAAGTAAAAGATATTTAAGCACAACAGAGTTTGTTTCTTTCTACAAATACAAAATACTGATTTATCATGAATATAGTTTACATAGCAGAGATATGAGAAGCTTCAGACTATCTGAAACATAGGAAAGGTGAGGCAAACAGAGACAAACTTCTTAAGATTTTACCCATAATTTCTTATTATGTTTGACTGGCCTTGAAAGCCAGTTTGCCTTGTTCAAGCTGCCAATTCTAAAATTCATTTCACATGAAGAAAAGCAGAGCCCATGCTGAGCAATGCAAGGGCTTTTTATCATAACTTTTAATTTGAAAATTATTTTGGTACTAAATTATTCAAGTGCTTAAACATTTACAGAACACCTTTCTTTATCTAACACAAAACTTTTCAGGACCAAACCTGCACATCTGTTGATAAATTATGGTGCATGTTGCAGTAGTTTTCTACCAACAGCCTTGCCAAAGCAGCATGTGAGATCAGATAGCGAAAGCAGCGCTCTACCATAGCCCTGTTGCTGGCCTTGGTAAGTCATTTGCAATACAAGTTTAATTGTCAGTACAAAAGGAGTGTTTCTGCTATAAAGCACTGAATTCAACTGTTTCTATCCTTTCAAGCAGCCATCTCTTCTGAACTTTGGACTGATGTTTTTTAATCTTATCTTTAGCCAACCTTAAACTTTACAGAACAGCTCTGCAGTAGCTACACACAGGTATAATACTTAACTAGAAACTACTGCTTACATAGTGCCAAAATGTCCATCTTGTACTTAACAAGCACTGACCTGCATCTCAAAACAAAGGCAAATCTAAGTTTAGGAGTCATATTCAGAAGAACGTCCTAGAAAAAAACTCTTCCCTCTGCAAACTATTTCATCACCTACATAGCTGTTAAGAACGACAGTAAAGAACCGACCTGTTCATAATCTAAACAGGACAGTAAGAAGAAAGTAGGAATTGATGAAGCATTCTTCTAGAGCAGGCAGTGAAGTTTAATCTAAGAGGTAGAGTTAGAATCCTAAATCCTCATTCATCTGTTGAAAACACTCGCTACAAAAGAACTTCTCCTTTAATACTTAACAACTCTAGGCTTTCTAAATCTTAATACATGATGTGAGCTGCACTACCCAAAAAACAATTTTGGATGCTTTTATTTTAAAGAAGAAAACATATAGAAACTACTTATTCCATATGCTTAATCCAACACGTCACCTATGTCACCCATTGGCCAAGGCACTTCCCTCCCGCTCACCCTTCAGCGCTCCCTTCTCGTGAAGGCCTGAAAGGCTGGTGGTAACGCTCCCATCTTCACTGCCTGTTATTGCCTTGCATCATTCTCTGCACAGAAGTTAAGCTCCTTCAAAACATTTTATGATTTAGATCCCAACTACTTCTCTTTCCTTCCAAGAAGACTGCAACCTCTGGAGAGCTATTAAACTAGACCCAAGTCTCCAGAATGAAAACAAAGCATTCATCTGACAAATTTATTCACCATTTTTCCTTCCACTTCTAGTCAAATGCATCTTTTATATTCTAGTAAAACTCTGTCCTACTCTAAAATGAAACTAAGAAATTTCAATCAGAAGAAGAAAACACAAGAGATTTTTCACTTACATTCTTCTTTTATTTTACCCTGTATTTCTCCATTCCCTTTCGTCAACCTGAGTATCATTTGTACTCATTTTTGGCTTTCACTCCACTTGTAATTTTCTCTAAAAAGTTCCCACTGCTTTTAATATTAGTTCAGCTCTTCCAGCAGCAGGATGGATGACAGTACTGGCACAACCAGCATGAGGTGATTGATGCTTAAAACACCAGCATTAAAATGCACTTGATAGGAGCTACCATCCACCTGATGACACAGGCTGAACTGGTGCTAACACCCACAGGAAATGTTCAGGCAAAATCATTCCCAGGCAGGGCCTTGATGTACTAAGGAGAAGAGACAGGATTAATTCTTTTCTTTCTCATCTTCAGCATCACCTGCTACATTTCCCTACCTATCTGAGACAGACTGGCAAGTCTTACTCAAGTTAACACATCAAATACACACGGCCAAGGTGTTAGATCATATGAGTCCTAATCTTCAATTTTATCAATTCAGTCATCCTTTGAAATACATCTTTAAGCAATGAGAAGTCAAAACTCAGGCCTGAGGGACCATGAGAGCTTATCCAATGTTTGCTTTTGCCGGTCCATAATAGAGATTCCCTTCTAAGTGTGCCCTAACTGGCCTTTCCAGCTCTGAATCTCAAACCCAGTGGGTTGCATAGGTTATCTTTCCTACCATTGCTCTGAGATAACTGAAACTTGAATTCAAGGTGAATTACAATATACACATGACAAGTTAAAAACAAACGAACACAAAAACACCATTCTCAAGCAGAGCTTTCAGCTACCACTTCCAAATTGGGAATTAAGCAATTTACCAGTTACTATTGTAACCACTGCTGATTTGCTCTGGAAGCACTTACCAGCCAAGTACCGAGCTAGAGCTGAGCCTTGGAAAGTGTACTAAGGCTCAAATAGCAGCAGAAATAAGTCAGCATATAATTTTCTTTTCATTCTTCTTTAAGAGTCCATCATTTTAAATGAAGTCCAGGCTGAAAACTTTTTTTTGCAAGGGTTCTCTTACGGACATTTTTATTGGCGTGAAAATGTAATCAGATGAATTGGGAAATGCCAAGAGAAAAATGAGAACCTCATATACTGCATTTGGAATTTCCTAATCGGGAAATCCTTGTAGTTCATTCGTCCTGTCAGTCAGGTTATACATCTACATTACTTCACACAGTCAAAGAACAGATTAAATAACCAACATTAAGTTGGCAGAGGTACTATATCTTTTTGTTTTCATCTCCTAGAATAATTTCTCTGCTATTTAGTTTAAATAACAGTGTCTTACAACAAAGCCTTGCAACTGTTACTTAACTTTTTAACTTTATATAAGTTACACCTTGTTATTTAACTTTTTAAACTATTTTAAACCTCTTTACTTTTTTGTTACTATTTGCCAAGTACAATCCATGCTGGTTGCTACCGAAGGAGATGGCAACATCTTTTGCTACGGTGGTAATTTTGCCATTTTTATGCTACGAAGTAATGCCAGACAGTTCACAAACAGAAGCTTTTTAAGCAACAGGGTAAGGATATAAGACATCCACATGCAGTCTGTGTCTCCATAGTTGGCCTTGGCAGCACACAGCTCTATTAATTAACCACTCCAGTTCAAAAGAGAAACCAAATAAATTATTTTAGAGTTCAAAAGCCTACATTAGGGTGCTTTATTTTTTCTTTTTTAACCTTGAATACCATGGCATTTTATCAGCTTTAGAAATAAGGAATCTGCTAAAATAAACACATTTTTTTCTTCTCTGTGTTCAGTCACAGCATCAGCACCTGCCTGGGCCATCGGCGGGGCCAAGGACCGTGAGACACTTGCAGCTTCTGCACTGCTCCTGCACAGGTGGGATTTTTTGTTCTGTTTGGTTTTTGTCTTTTATTTTAACTCAGCCCAACAATGTATTACAGGACACTTTTTAAAAACAATCAATAGTGACAAAAACAAGCAATTACTGAACAACCTTGTGTGTAAAAAGGAGGCTGGTTTATGCTTTCTGCTTTAGCATACATTAAAATAATTGTTAAAAGTATCCTAAAAGTTACCACCTTCCTACTCCCATCCACAAACACAGAAGTCCAAAGGTCTGTCGGTGCACCCCTGGTTCTATATAAGATACAAAAATAAAAACAGTTCCTACAGCAGAGAGTTCATCCAAGGAGATTTTCAGTAATTCCAAATTTTAATAAAACCAATAGAGAATTCAATGTGTAATACACTGGTGTTTGTTTAAAAAACTTATTTGTTTTTATGAAATACTACTTCTTTTCAAGTAGCTGAATTGCCACAAGGTAATTTTTACTTTTTCTTTCCCTCTGCCATGAACCAA